AATAGAACGATTATACCAAGCAAATGATCAGTTATCAAAAACCTGAATTAATAGCTGCCTTCTGAAGCACTTCAGCAATATTTTTCACCATAGTTTCCTCTTCCTTTCTTTTCTTTGCCAGTTCTTCTCTGCAACACTAAAGAAATAGAATATTCGTCCCATTTATGAAAAATGAAAGAAATAAAGGTGCTGATCGATCCGTTTTACTACCTAAACTTATTTGGATCAAAAACAGTTAAACCTCAATTTTCCCAGTGTGTTACTAAAATCGAACTGTAAATCCGACAGTTTTTCCGACGTGGGACGTAACCTTCCAGGAGGAATTTCTGCTGCAATATAAGCGATCATAACCAACAAAAAAAAAAAATTGGAAAGAATTTAAAATTAGGAACCGTTTTCTACGTTGTTTCCTTCCTTTAAGTAATGGCGACGTATTGACAAAGGATCAACAGAAGCATGAAAACGAGACATTCGGCCGTTCCCGGCACTGTTTAGGGCAAATACTTCTTCACCAGACATAGCTGCTTACAGAAGCCTCAACGCGAGAAAAATCTGAAAAAAAATATAACCATCACTACAGAATTAACAAAAGAGAAAAAATAATAAATGTTGTGCATACAATACTGCCGTGTGAACAGCAAATGTATCAACTCACACAAGCATTAGGAAGATGACGAAAAGATTCCAAAGCCCAATAAATACCCTAAAGTACTGAAGCATAAACAAAAACTCGCGAATACGTTCACCGACAGTACGCGGCTCACCTTCTATCAAAGTAGCACTAAACGGATCTGGCGTTTTCTTCCTGAAAATTCTGCTCATATGCTGAATTGAACAAGAATAAAAAGGATTTTAGAGCTCTTAAATGTCAGGAAACTTTTTGCGACGAACAATAAAACAACTAACAGCTTGAAGTTGAGAATGGCCAAAGCATTGACACCAAGCGTACCAGCAAGGACCAACTCAGAAAGCATTATCACAAAACGTATTACGCATTTCAAGCTGTGAATTCCAAAATTTTAGCTTGCTCGACTCCTCAGCAGTCTAAATGGAACTGAAGTCAACAAACTGAGCTAAAAAATAAAAAAATAAAAAAAAAATAAAAGGAAATGAAACAAGAATATCTTCGAAAGCAAACTCGGTAAATCACGCGCAATTCAACATGTTTGATAACCAAGCCTAAAGATCAGAACTCATCTTTCAGAAATACTTCAATAAAATCAGAATACAATAAAAATTAAAAAATAGGTTTACCATCTATATTCCTTACTGTACAATTTAAAAAAAAAATAATTTTTTTGCTGAACTTGATATTTGAAGTTTTACAGTCAATGATTATGTTCACAATGTAATCAAGACAAAACTTAAAAGTATAGCTTTTTTTTGTCACTCTATAAAGAAACACTTACCATTCGCTGTACGTGTGCTAAAAATCATAAAAGTTCAAAGGAAAGAATCTGCAGTGTAACTTTTTGTCAAAAAAAAATATACCAAGCAGCTAAAAAAAGTGCAAAAAATCTCAAAAAAAAAGAGTACGAACAAATTATTCGTTGCTGAGAAACTTGAAATGAATGTCCAAATAACGATAAAAGAAACAATAAACTCAACAAGGTTTATCAACAGAAATTTTTCAAAAGAGTCATCCAACACAGTCAAAGCTCCTCATCAATCCACCAGTCTTTCACATTTCTAGAAAAGTCACTTCCAACAGCTACAATCATCCGTTTAAAAGCCTTATCCTGGAACTTCAAATCTAGAAATTATGAAATAGCTACGCAGCCAAAACGACCCTAAGTGATCCATACCCTTTTAGAGCTTAATGAAACCAACGGGAAACTTGCGCAAACTTCACTTGCGAATACAACAGTGCTTCGCCGACAGGCGACAGCGATGTTTCCTTTGAATTTGGACTAAATCAGTTAAAACTGTCAGCAAATAGACACTTGGCAAATTATCAGCATATTTAAAACGTGGTCAAAATGTCATTGCAAGAACAGAAAATTTGAATGGCAGGTTACTGTAATCTCAGAACTCTAATCAGATACTACACACAGTGGTATTCACTTTCAATTTTGGTTACCGTGGTTTTGAAGCAAAGCTACAGTAGGTTGGGGGCCCGAAGTTACAGCAGAGATTTGCTGCAAAAATACAATTGATTTTATAACCGTTTTTTAACGCTTCCGACAACTGTACATAAAATGTGCATATCAAGGGTTTCTTTCTTGTTCATTTATTGCTGCTATACAGATGAATATTTCTAACAAAAGGTTGAGCTTGACATCTGCATTTCCAGCAACAATTTTTTGTATCTAGTATGTTGCTATACAAATTTTTGTTCCATCTACACTTATCCTTTTCATAACTTAAACTGTTAACATGGCGGCTGCAAAATTTTGTTAGTGTAAAGAACGCCGTCGATGATTTATAGAGATATGAGGTAGCTAAATAAGTTTTTTAAAGGTTTTCCGATAAAAGTGCAGTATTGTAAAGGGACAAAAGTCATTTGTAAAACTATATAACTGATTAGAAACAATAAAATAAAGAAAACAAGGAACTTTTAAGGTACACTCTGAGACACTACTGGAATGCCATAGGCCATGGACAGTTTTAAGTTACATCTGAAATATAATTTGCATCTAAAATTTTTATCTCATTTTATCCGTGCATCAACTTGTACTCCAAGAAAAAAAAAAAAAAAA